GAGGTTCGAATCCTTCCGTCCCAAACCTTTTTGATCTTTTTTTTCTATCAAATATAAATAGTCTATTGAGATAGAAATAATAGAGAGAAAGGAATCTATCTAACTAAGTAAATTATATAGAGAACCTAAATGGATAGTATGTTTAGAGAAAACTCGAACCAATACTAGAGACTTTTCAGGATTCCCTGATTTAATCAAGTACATATTGGTTCCAAATTATAATAAATAATATTATGGTCCAATGTTGTTTGCAACAATGTGGTATAAAGCAACGTGTCACTTTAAAGATGAAAACCAAGATCCTTTATCTTGTTACATCCACCATTTTTCTTTTTTTATAAAGAAAATAATAGGTTATTCGCTTGATAGCAGTGAATCTGTTCCATATGATAGAAAGAATGCTCTTTTGTAATAGTTTGTAATAGAACGAAATTTTAATGTATATTTTAATGTATATAGTTAGGGTTTTTTTTGTAAAAAAAAATAAAAAAAAAAGGAGGAACTTAAAATAGATTTACAGCTAGAGAGATCGAAAGAACAGAATTTCCTGTATCCACTTTTATTTCAGGAGTATATTTATGTCCTTGTTCATGATCGTGCTTTAAGTGGGTTAAAAGGATCAATTTCTGCTAAAAATATAGGCTATACAAAAAAATTTAGTTTTCAAATTGTGAAACGCTTAATTACTCAAATGTATCAACAGATACAGCTCACTCATTATTATTCTAAAAAAAGTCAAATTTTTAGAACCAGCAAGTTTTTCTATTGTAACCAGTTAGCTGAGGTTTTTGCTTTTATTTTGGAAATTCCGTTTTCTTTAAGATTCATATCATCAGAGCGCAAAAAAACGAAACTCTTAAAATGTAATAATTTACGGTCAATTCATTCCATATTTCCCTTTTTTGAAGACAATTTATCACATTTAAATTTGGTATTAGATCTACTAATCCCCTCCCCCCCTCATCAGGAAATTGTGGTTCAAATAATTCGGTATTGGGTAAAAGAGGCTTCTTCTTTACATTTATTACGCTTCTTTCTATATGAGTTTTATAATTTTCAAAATTTGAATAATCCCAATAGGTCCCATTACCTTTTTACAAAAAGACCTGAGCGGCTTTTCTTCTTATTATATAACTCTTATTTATATGAATATGAATCCGTTTTTGTCTTTCTCCGCAACCAGTCTCTTCATTTCAAAGCAATCAGTTTTCGAGCACTTTTGGAACGGAATATTTTCTATGGAAAAATAAAATGCCTTTTAGAAGTATTTGAAGAGGATTTTCCTGCAAGTATCCGTTTGTTAAAGGCTCCGGATCTTTCAATGCATTATGGTAGGTATAGGGGAAAGTCAATTATGGCATCAAAAGGAACATTTCTTTTGATATCAAAATGGAACTATTATATTTTAAAATTTTGGGAATCTTATTTTTCTATTTGGTTCCATACTGGAAGAATAAATAGAAATCAATTATCCATCCATTCTTTTTCATTTATGAATTATCTTTCAAGTATTGTATTAATCCCTTCAATAATACGAAGTCAAATGTTAAATAATTCATTTTTAATAAAAAATGCTATTAATCAATTTGATACTGTTGTTCCAATTATTCCTATCCTAGGATCCCTAGCTAAAGCTAAATTTTGTAATATACTTGGGAATCCCATTAGTAAACCGGGTTGGATCGACTTCTCAGATTCTGAGATTATTCAAAGGTTTGGGCGGATATGCCGAAATTTTATTCATTATTATAGTGGTTCTTCCAAAAAAAACCAGTTTGTATCAAATAAAGTATATACTTAGGCTTTCTTGTGCTCGAACTCTAGCTCGGAAACACAAAAGTACTGTACGCGATTTTTTACAAAGCTTGGGCTCGGAATTTTTAGAAGAATTTTTTACATCGGAAGAACAAATTTTTTATTTTACGTTTTCAAATGCTTCTTCAAATTGGAGTCGAGTTTATAAAAGGCGGATTTGGTATTTTGATATTGTTTGTATCAAAGAGCAGATTAATTTTTAAAAATTCATGTATATTGTCAAATTCAAATTTTTACCAAATTATGAAGAGATGCAAAAATTTTTATTTTTACAAAAGTCTAATTCAAGGGTAAGCTTAGTTCTCACTTTTTTAAAATTTATATAGATAATAGATAATTTATATATATAAGAACACTTATTCACAAAAACATTCTTTACTCGAACTAACTAGTTCCGGATTGTAATTATGAGTACCTAATCGTCATGCTTAAATGAGATGGAGAAAATTCACTTGACTTAAAGCGGAATCAAATTAGATAGCTCTATTGGTTGACACGAATATCTAAGTCGTGTTATACTGTTGAATAACAAGCCTTTATTTCTTCTATTTTTTTTTTATTTCGTGTGCTTGGGAGTCCCTGATTATTAAATCAACCAAGAATTGATCATGACTGCAGTTTTAGAGAGACGCGAAACCCAAAACTTATGGGGTCGTTTCTGTAATTGGATAACTAGCACTGAAAATCGTCTTTACATTGGATGGTTTGGTGTTTTGATGATCCCGACTTTATTGACCGCAACTTCTGTATTTATTATTGCCTTCATTGCTGCTCCACCAGTAGATATTGATGGTATTCGTGAACCTGTTTCTGGATCTCTGCTTTACGGAAACAATATTATTTCAGGTGGCATTATTCCAACTTCTGCAGCTATAGGATTACATTTTTACCCAATATGGGAAGCGGCATCCATTGATGAATGGTTATATAATGGTGGTCCTTATGAACTAATTGTTCTACACTTCTTACTTGGTGTAGCTTCTTATATGGGGCGTGAGTGGGAACTTAGTTTTCGTTTGGGTATGCGCCCTTGGATTGCGGTTGCATACTCCGCTCCGGTCGCAGCTGCTACCGCAGTTTTCTTAATCTATCCAATTGGTCAGGGAAGTTTTTCTGATGGTATGCCCCTAGGAATCTCTGGGACTTTCAATTTCATGATTGTATTTCAGGCTGAGCACAATATTCTTATGCACCCATTTCATATGTTAGGCGTAGCTGGTGTATTTGGCGGTTCCCTATTCAGTGCTATGCATGGTTCCTTGGTAACTTCTAGTTTGATCAGGGAAACCACAGAAAATGAATCGGCTAATGAAGGTTACCGATTTGGCCAAGAGGAAGAAACTTATAATATAGTAGCCGCTCATGGTTATTTTGGACGATTAATTTTCCAATATGCTAGTTTCAATAATTCTCGTTCATTACACTTCTTTTTAGCTGCTTGGCCTGTAGTAGGTATTTGGTTCACTGCTTTAGGTATCAGCACTATGGCATTCAATTTAAATGGGTTCAATTTTAATCAATCCGTAGTTGATAGCCAGGGCCGGGTAATTAATACTTGGGCTGATATAATTAATCGTGCTAACCTAGGTATGGAAGTTATGCATGAACGTAATGCTCACAACTTCCCTCTAGACCTAGCTGCTATCCAAGTTATAGCTACAAATGGCTAGAGACTTTGTCTCTTAGTATATAGATAGGGAATCTATTTAAAATAGAATAAAGGAGCAATTCCGCCTTCTTGTCTAGAACAAGAAAGTGGTTATTGCTCCTTTATTGATTCCTTTTTGAAAAGAACATATTTTAGTTGGGGGCGGATGTAGCCAAGTGGATTAAGGCGGTGGATTGTGAATCCACTATGCGCGGGTTCAATTCCCGTCGTTCGCCCATCACTCTAATTTCCGTTTCGATAAATTCTATAAATGGGTAAAAGATATGAGTGAAAGTAAATAACATGCCGCTATGGTGAAATTGGTAGACACGCTGCTCTTAGGAAGCAGTGCTAGCGCATCTCGGTTCGAGTCCGAGTAGCGGCATAAAAAATAAGAGTAATCTTTTGTTCTTTTTCATTTTTTTTCTTATCTAATTCAGAGTTAAAATCTTATTTTATTTTTTTTAATAATTTTTATGATAGTTTCAACCTTAGAACATATACTAAGTAATATTTCACTTTCAATAATACTCGTTTCAATTTTAATTAAAATTTATTTGAGAATCTTTTTCGTCGATGAAAACATAAAACTTTCTAATTCATCAGAAAAGTGCATTTTCATAACTTTTTTATGTATAACAGGATTATTAGCTACTCATTGGATTTCGTCAGGCCATTTCCCACTAAGTGATTTATCGGAATCTTTGCTTTTTCTTTCCTGGAGTTTTGCTCTTATTAATAGCCTTTCCTATTTAAAAAAAAATACAAAATTATTAAGTACAATAATAAGCCCAATTGATTTTTCTATCCAGGCTTTTGCTACTTCGGGTCTTTTCACAGAAATTAAGAAATATTCAATATTAGTCCCCGCTCTTCAATCTCAGTGGTTAATAATGCACGTAAGTATGATGATAGTGGGTTACGCAGCTCTTATATGTGGCTCCTTATTATCAGTAGCACTTATGGTCATTACCTTTAGAAAAAATGAAAATATTTTTCAAATGAATTATATTTTTTCGGCTAACAATTTTTATAAGATTCAATTAAGTAAAGAATTAGATTATTGGAGTTATCGAGTTATTAGTTTAGGGTTTATCTTTTTAACCATAGGAATACTTTCGGGGGCTTTGTGGGCGAACGAAGCGTGGGGATCTTATTGGAGTTGGGATCCAAAAGAGACTTGGGCTTTTATTACTTGGATAGTGTTTTCAATTTATTTACATACTCGAAGAAATAGAACTTTTGAAGGTGCTACTTCGGCAATTGTGGCATCTATAGGTTTTCTTATTATTTGGATATGCTATTTTGGAGTCAATTTAATTGGATTAGGTCTACATACTTATGGTTCATTTTCGCGAACATAAAAAAGATTTTATTCTTTAATATTTGAATCTTTGGAATAAATAAAAAAAAAAGACATTAATTTTTTACTTCGTGAAAAGCTAAAAATTTATGAAACCCGTGCTACAAAATATGAAATATTTTTATTTTAGAGCACGGGTTTTCAATAAAAATAGAATGAATTCAAATATACTTTTCTGGACCAGATCAATAAGCGAGACCCATACTGCGAGTTGTTTCATGCCATAAATAAACTCGAACACTCAAGAAATCTGTTGGGCAAGCGGATTCACACCTCTTACAGCCTACGCAATCTTCTGTTCTCGGAGCAGAAGCAATTTGTTTAGCCTTACATCCGTCCCATGGTATCATTTCTAAAACATCGGTGGGGCAGGCTCGAACACATTGAGTACATCCTATACATGTATCATAAATCTTTACAGAATGTGCCATTGAACGAATAAATTTATAAATTTTATGAATTATCGATATAGTATCCTCCAAATATTATTTTTATGCAATATAAAATTAGAAGATACTTGGTTTTTAGATACTATATGACTCAATGAATTTTCAGAAGAATTCTAATCACTAGATTTCTGGATTGGTTTTAAAAATAAAAAAAAAAATTATTTTATGTTTTTTGGTAAATTATTATCAATTTTTATGTTTTAATATTATCATTTTTTTTTATAACTACGCAAACTACCTAATAGGGTAAAAAAGGATTCTTTTTTGAATTAACTAAATCTGCCGTTTTAAAGTTTTAAATAAAAAATCCCTTCAAATTTATACAGTAAGAATCAATAGACAAAAGGACATGATGTCTTTCTATTCACTACCCTGAGCTATTCTTTTGTAATTGTTTCAGTACCCAGACTGTAGTTCTAAAATTTACGTATAAAATAGGTTCTAAAAGCTATACAACTTCAAAATGAATGAGTTTTTGTCTCTCTAATCTCCAATTTATCAATTAATTCTTTATAGCGCAATGTATTTTTTTTTGATAAATAAGCTAAAAGTCGTTGTCGTTTCCCCAAAATTTTACGTAAACCTTTTTGAGATAAATAGTCTTTTTTATGCAATTTCAAGTGGGAAGTAAGCCGGTGTATTCTATTGGTGAAATTCCATATTTGAAATTCAACGGAACCTCTGTTTTGTTGGTTTTGGTTTTTATAAATAGTCGAAAGAGATAAGTTTTTTATCATAAACTAAATGAACTCCCTTCATTGATATATAATATGCATTTAAAATAATTTTTTATAATTAAGTTATAGATTTATTTCATAGATATGAAATAATTGATTAGTAACTAAAACGAACTAACGAAAAATAAAGAAAGAAAATGATAAGAAAAAAGAAGAAATATTATACAAGAAATCAACTTGACAGAAATGAATCCAATGTTTTTTTATTTTTTTTGTAAAAAAAACTTGTAAACTTACCCGTTAAAAGAGATTTTGCTAATGAAAGAGCTTTTAATCTTACCTCAATAGTCTTTCTTTTCCAAATGTTCTTACGAATACGCTTTTTGGCTTTCGAAATACGTATTTTTTGGAACTGCCATTTAAAATGATTTACAGGTTATCACTGGATGTGAAAGACATTTATTGCTAAAAAAGAATTCTTCTAACTAAGTCTATCAATTCAAATCAAAAGAAAACCCTCTCTTTTCGGGTTCATTAATAAAATAAAAGTGAATTATTTCAACTTAATATTCTTTGGATGAGGGAGAAAGTATCTATATAGATCTAAATAAATATATGGTATCCTCGATTCAGTTAGATACAAATTAAAATAAGGTATATTTCCATTCATTGCTTTTCATCTAACCTGGTACCATCTACCCTGCTAGAGGGTAGATAGTACTACTATCAATTAAATTTCCACCAATTAAATTTCAATGGTAAATACATATGGATCCTTAACATACTGAAACGACTCCCATTATTAGTATTAAACCAATAACGATTCATACAAGCTAAATCTTCCAATCGATAATTAGGCCAAAGAAAAAATTCAATCAATTTATTCGGATCCTTATGCCGAGGGTTACTTTCCTCCCAAACTTGATTTTTGTTGGAAACTAGAGAATTTGCATCCACGCCATTCCATTTGTTTGAATTGAAACAAATTAGAGTTCTTAATTCTCTACGACGCCTAGATGATAAAATATTTTCAATAAGAAGCGGATCACAATTATTGTTCTCTTCAGCGCGAATTATTCGTTGTTTTACGTATTTTTGATTAAGAATTTCTTTACTCTTATGAACCAATGAAAGAACTATGGTTTGATACATAAGAAATTCTCCGTTTGGTTTGATAGACAGCGGAAGTGGGGGTCAACCAAAAATCCCGTCCTTTTTAAAAATTCTGGAACACTCTCTTTTGAATCCGCAACACTCTGTTTTGAATCTCGAACATTTCTTTTTGAATTTTTTGAATCTGGAACACTCTGTTTTGAATCTGGAACACTCTGTTTTGAATCTGGAACATTTCTTTTTGAATTTTTTGAATCTTGAATACTCTCTTCCTGATTCATCTGTGGCATTAGACCCAAATTTAACTTTTCCCTTTGAATCCATGATAGCATCATTTTTTTTCGATTTAGCATTCTAAGCAAGAGACAATAGATCTGGAGATCTTGGAAAAGGCCTTGATTAAAAGTAACATCCTCATCCTCTCTAAATTGAAAAAATAAATAATTTTTCAGGAATAACTCTAGTTCTATCTCAGTTTGACTTTTCTTTTCACCTTCAGTTTCCCCTTCAGTTTCCCCCTGGGTTTCCCCTTCAGTTTCACCTTTGGTTTCACCTTCAGTTTTCCCTTTGGTTTCACCTTTGGTTTCACCTTTGGTTTCACCTTTGGTTTCACCTTTAGTTTCCCCTTTGGTTTGACCCTCGGCTTTATCTTTTTTTTTACTCTCAGTTTTACCTTTGGTTTCACCCTCAGTTTTCTTTTTATCCTTTTTATCTTTGTTTTTATTCTTAATTTTACCGATCTTTTGATTCGTCATTTCATCATTGAGATTCAAATTAGAAATAAGTGATTGGCTTGGTATAATCCATGGTTTCATTTTATATATATTAACAAACCACAGAAATTCTGGGAAGACCGAAAGTTCCTCAGCCGTTAATGGACGGTCGAGTATTGCTTCATTCAGTCCCATCCAATCCAATAAAGAATTTTTAGAATTTACTAGATTCCTTTCTTCGGTATTTGTCTGAATCAAAAGAGCAAAAGGATCTTTTTCATTTTTAAAAATTTGCTCAATTTTCACAATCTCTTCCATTCTATCAATTAATTGATAATTATAAGTGAAAATTGGAGTACTTTGAGTATTGTTATCATTACCCGTGATCCAGGACTCAATATCCGCTTTTTTATCAAGAGAAAAATTAATCTTTTTCAAATTTAAATATTTTCTCTCTAAATTTTTGTCTGTATAGGGGATATTGACCCTTTCTATTTTTTCTCTGAAACTAGTGATAGGAAGATTTTTCGTTATCGCAAACAAGTTGTTTTGTGACATCTTGTAATGATAAGAAATCGTTTCCCGTTTAGCTCCTGGAGGGGGTCCACTATTTTTTTCATACTGAATGTATTGATATGCTAAAAGATCATATTGACAGCATTTTTTAAAATTATCTTTTTTTTTTTTATTAAATACTGAGTTAGCATCCTTTTGTTTCCTGTAATTATTTAATTTTAATTTTCTACTGGAATTCCTTTTGTGTAAATCTTTTTGTTTAGACCTACGATAGCGATTCGCCCTATTTCTCCATTTTTGTTTTTGTGATCTTAAGGCAGACCAGAAATTAGGAGATAAATCGTATTGAGAATTCCCTCTTAACCAAAATTTCCATTGACTCGTTCTAGACCGCTTAAGTTCTTTTTTTATTCCTTCAGATTGAAGTATTCCTTGTTTATGAAATGAGTCTTTTATTTTTTTTTTAATAAAGAAATTCTTTTCAATCAAGAAAGATGTTCCATTTTGTTGAAGAACAGACATCAAATTAGATACGTTCAAAAAACTCCTTTGTGATATTTTGTACAATACATATGCTTGTGACAAGTTAGATAAATCACCAAAATTCTCTGGCTTTTCCTTATAACGCTTATTATTATGCGTTTTTATATTTGAAAGAGAGTTCATTTTTGTTGATTCCACAAAGAGTTTTTCAGTCATTTGGCAAATAGATATAGTATATAAAAAAATATAGTTAGATATTCTTTGAATCAATAATTTTATAAAATAATGAAATTTATATCTTAATCTATTTTTTTTTATTTTTAACATTTGACAAAAATTTTTTGACAAGGCTAATCTCGAACTTTTTTTGTAAGGGCTCATATCTAGTTCTAGAGTCAGCCTTTTCTTATCTTCCGTAATTCTTTCTAGTTTTTTTTTAATTGTATTTGTCCTATGAGTAATAGCCTGTATTTTGTCTATCGGTGAATAATTTTTCCAATCTGTAATTTTTTCAATTTTACTCAAGGGTTGATTCATTATCTGGTTATTTATTTGATCATCTTTTTCTTTTTTTATTAAACTCGGGTGTATTGTTCTTTTTTCGTTTGAACTTGTTTTTTTTTTTGAAAACTTTTTTAAAAATTTGATTTTTACTTTTACAAATTTGTAAAGTTCCTTAAAAACAGGCTCGAAAAACGAAGGTGTTTGTCGTGGATGACCAAAAGGGTGTTCTGTTTCCCTTCCCCAAACTGTTAAAAAACAAAAGTCATCACGAGAAGTTAGTGATTTATATTCGTGCCAAGGTTTTAGACAGAAAGGAAATAAAATTTTGATTTGAATACCTTCTGTCAACCAATTTTCCGGAAATTTTTTGTCAGCTAACGGAATACCATTATAAGTACACTTCACATGCGTTTCTTTATTCCATCCCTTTAAATCTTCAGACCATTCAGGAGTTTGAAATAGTAGCATACGCCCTATATTTTTCCCGATTATGAATGAAGGTAATAGAATTTTTTTTCTCAGAATTGATTGGGTTATTAATAACAAACCTCTTATTATTTGGGTATATGGGAAAGTTTCCCAGGCTTCCCCTATCTCTAACCGTTCTATTTCCTCTCGTCGTTTCTTTTCCTTTTTGGTTTCTCTTTTTATTATTGTTTTTTTTTCCTCTGTAGACTCTAAAATACCGAACTCGTTTCTGGATGACCATTTTATAAAAAGTCGTTTCAGTTGAGCCAGGTATGGTATAGAAAAAAAGGTTTTTTTCCTCATCCTGTCAAAAAAGAGAGGGGAATGCGCATTTGCTTTAAAAAGTCCCTCAATAACTATTTTACGTCTTTGAGTTCGCATAGAGTCTTTTATTAAGCCTTGGCGAAAATCAGATTGGTGCGGATATCGTAACAAATAAAGCTTATTATCCTCATCTTCCTTTTTCTTTTTCATATTTTTATCTTTCTCATCATTGTCGGATTTTATAGCTTGAATATTTGTCTCTTTTGTATTCTTATCTTTGTTTGTAGTCTTATCTTTGAGAGTCTTAGGCTCTTCAAAAATTAATACACTTATCCCTTTTCTTGAACGAATATCATGATCATCTGGTGGATTTCTAAAATACGATATTTGTTCCAATTCAGTTATTAATTTGTATGACCATCCGGGGACTTTTTTACCAATCTCTTCTTTACCTATTTTTTCTATTGCAGAATATTTTTTATCGTCTGTCTCAATTACATTTACTAAAAATTTTGTTAGTTGTTCTGAATCCGTTAAATTGAAACTCGATGATAAAGTTGAGAACTCACCAACTTGTAATGGTTTTTTTTCCTTTTTTTCAAAAGGAGACATCAACAATAAAGCATGAAGTCTATTTAGCATAACCTTCTCTCTCAACTTTTTGATCGAAGTCTCGTTTATCAACGTTATATCTTTTTTTAGTCTTCCGCGGGAAGGCCCATTTAACAAGGGATCATACTCTTCTGGTAAGTATTCTTTTCTAGTCTCATCATTGTGTATACATAATCGCGTTTTGGTTGTTTCAATTTCTAGTATTGGGACTGATACTGGTTTGTCAAGATTTTTAATTCGATTTAACAAATCAATTTTTATAGAATTTAATTTTTGTTTGTTTCTAGAAACCCAAAAATTGTCCAATTTATTAGAAATATCTTTTTCTAATGATAAAAGGGGTATCTTTTTTTTGATTATTTGAAAAAACGTTGATAAACTTATCGGATGGGTAAAAGATATTCTATCTTTTCCATCACTTTTATGTATGTCAAAGAAATATTGTGCCATTTCGTTTCTTACCGCTTGTTCAAGTCTATTATTTTTTATGTAGCGAAATGGCCGAGTCCATCTTTTATAATCAAAAAGAAGAGCCACAATATGTTCTTTATTTTCATATTTTTCAAGGATTTCCAATTCAGAATCAGATCCTTCCAAGTCCGGTTCGTTTACTTTCAAGTCCAATTCTTTTTCCAAAATACCCTTTTCTTCGGAAAAAAGGGAAGGATCTTCTTCAGTGGATTTCTTTTTTTTTTCTACGTCTTTTTCTTCCTCCTTTTGCAACCTTTCCTTTTCCCTTTGTTCTATTTTTGAGACCTCACTAAATTTCTGAGTAGGAATAGGTAAGGGTGTTCTGCCTAAAGACTGAATACTTAGAATACATACTATACTTCCAAAACTACAATTTAGTAAAATAAAAAAGATAGAATTTCTGACTAGGTACTTTCTAATAACATTATTTTTATGTATCCAGATTACTAAATTTTTCTGTATCCAGACTACTAAAAATTCCAAGCAATTGATGACTAAAATTTGTCCAATTCCCCAAGCAAAAAAACTGCTTATTACAAACAACATCTTATTGTTACAGCGAAACAGATAAATGCTTACTAATCGGGCTAACGTTGAACTTGGTAAAATACAAATGTTAAGCAACTGAAAAATAAGATGATTGAGGGAATACAAAGATATTCTCTAGATCACGGATTGAATTTTGGTTATTAGATCCATAAGCAAAAATTTTTTTTTCAGTGTTCAAGAAAAGCTGAATCAAAAGATAAGGTAAAGCAAGGACAGTTATTGTATGAGGTCTACCCAAAGCTAGATAAAGGGGCGCATAATAGATGGATACGAATCTTATGAGCTGTCCCATAAAAAAACCAGTGGTTGCTGCTACCTTCTTATTTGTATTTGGTTCTTTTTCCATAACCATAGTTCGCACAAAAAAGAAATAAGAGGACCTTATTGAAAATGTGGTAAGAAATCCATAATACAGTCCGACTACAACAACAGAATTGAGTACCTTCAAAAAGAAATCAGAACCTATAATCATAAAATTCTCCTTTATTTTTTTTTTTTTAACTTGTTTTCCTATAATTTTTCTATTATTTTTCTATAATAGAAAACAATAAACTAGTAGATTTGCCTTCACATCTTATACTATGATATTTTACTATCATTTTTTGATTATGATCGTCTATTTTGATATTTGACGTCTATTATGATATTTAATTAGGATCGTCTATTATGATATTTAATTAGGATCGTCTATTATGATATTTTACTATCATTTTTTTTTCTATTCTACTATATGGAATTCCAATGTTTGGAATTCAAAATAGGTTTTATTTTTCAATTGAGGAAACCTTAGAACAAGAAGTCGTAGGAGTGCTTTCCATAAAAATAAAATTTACAAAACTTTTCAAATTACAAATAACTGTCCCCAAGCGAAAGATTAATTCAATTCAAAATAGGTTTTATATGAAATGAAGTTTAATTTGATTTTTTTTTATAGAATTTATCGAAACAAAACAGCAATTCGGGTCATGGGTG